CAAAAATATAAAATATATAATAGAACGGCTTAGTAAATAAAATATATAAAGCAAAAATAAATAAATGAATAAGCAAAGAAAAAGAATAACAAGCTCAAAACCAAAATAAATATAACTAGAGTACAGTTTGTATAAAGACGGATAAACACAAAACCTAACAACTCAGTACAAAGAATAGATAAATTAGGTTACAATGTACAGATATATTTGTATATCTGTACATAAAGATGTATAAAGATGAGCAAATATAACAATATTCATGTAAGGTGGGTGAAGTTTGATAAAACAAAAGAAATGGGGGGAAAACACTCGTATATATAGTCTATAAACAATGGACACCATATACACAGTATGGTATTCACAAGTGTGCCTTATGTTAAATAAACAAACGACAGTTTGCCCAAAACATTTGTCGAAACTATCCTGGTTTCTGCAATATTGCTCAATAAACGTTATATTAATCATTTCAAGTTATAATGGCCTTAATTGACAGTCCGCTCCATCAGAATGGAGAAATATGATCTGATGTTGGATACTATGACAAATGAAGGATCGTTCGCTGGTCTACTAAATCATTGTTCACTGACGCGATCAGTGGTTCTTCTGTGTTGTTTGATAGATGAGAATCAAATTGGGGAATGGTCATTAGCCTGGGGAGAGCAACTTTATCAGTCATCTTGGTTTTCCTAGATGTACACCTCAACAATATCACTTACTTGATGGTCGTTTTGTATTCTTAATGGATAACAGTAAAAAATATATCAGAGATGAATGTCGATCTCCAAGTATTCCACAGTATCTTTGCTTCTTGCTTCCTCAGTATGCAGTGTTAAATACTACTACCAATGTCCAGGCCTCTTGATTTCCCACTACTCAGTAAGCCTATTCATTCCACGCCCTATCATACTAATACACACCATTCCTGTTAAATTACATTGTGGTCAAAGTGAATCTTTTTTTCAGTATGCAGTGCTAGATAACAATAACCTTGGGCTATGCTTCTTGTTTCCTAACGACATCTGTATATAGTGTTCTATTAGCCTGAACAATAAACATTCAAGTGAATAACACCTTTAAATAATGAGATATAGGGGAGTCAAACAATGAATTAATCTTTATCATACAGCTTATTCGGACGTTTAGGGTCGCCAGTGATACTAAGGGTATAAACGTTGAAACCTAGTAGGCGAATGCAGAAAATCCCAAGTGATCGAAAAAGGTGAAATTTAGATAGATAGGTGCACTTGCCCAGTAATCCAATAAACGACTAGATAAAATAAATGATATTAATCAAAACGACAGAACCACATATATTACACCAACTTATTGTATTTTCAGGATGTACCGCCCTATAACTTCACTCCTGACTAGGTCTTGTGTTTTCAGGATGTACCGCCCTTTAACTTCAATCCTGACTAGGTCTTGTGTTTACAGTATGTACCGCACTATAACTTCTCTCCTTACTAGGTCTTGTGTTTACCGTATGTACCTCCCTATAACTTCACTCCTGACTAGGTCTTGTGTTTACAGTATGTACCGCCCTATAACTTCACTCCTGACTAGGTCTTGTGTTTACAGTATGTACCGCCCTATAACTTCACTCCTGACTAGGTCTTGTGTTTACAGTATGTACCGCCCTATAACTTCACTCATGACTAGGTCTTGTGTTTACAGTATGTACCGCCCTATAACTTCAATCCTGACTAGGTCTCTTGTGTTAACAGTATGTACCACCATATAACTTCACTCCTGACTAGGTCTTCTGTTTACAGTATGTACTGCCCTATAACATCACTCCTGACTAGGTCTTGTGTTTACAGTATGTACCGCCCTATAACTTCACTCCTAACTAGGTCTTGTGTTTACAGTATGTACCGCCATATAACTTCACTCCTGACTAGGTCTTCTGTTTACAGTATGTACCACCATATAACTTCACTCCTGACTAGGTCTTGTGTTTACAGTATGTACCGCCCTATAACTTCACTCCTGACTAGGTCTCTTGTGTTTACAGGATGTACCGCCCTATAACGTCACTCCTGACTAGGTCTCTTGTGTTTACAGTATGTTCCTCTCTATAACTGTACCCTTGACTAGGTCTTAAGCGTTTCTGTAGTATGTACAATTCTTTAACGTCACCCCTACATAGGCCTCTTGTGTTTTTAGTATGTGACATTCTATACCTACACCCTTGACTAGGCCTCTTGTGTTTGCAATATTTACCGTTCTATAACTTCATCCCTGACTTGGTGGTTTTTTATAATATCAGTAGGTACCGTTCTATGATTTTGCCTCTTGTGTTTACAGTTTGTACCGCTCTATACGGTCAACCCTTACTCGGTTTCTTGAGTTTTCACCCTGGAGCTCTAATTTCGTTAATCTATAGTAATCAATATTATCCAAGTTGCCTTATATTTGTGGTTTATGATATAAGACTAAATATTTACAACTTATGTTGCTATTTGTCTAATGGTAAAGTCAAAGGCTGTCTCTTTTCATTTGTTGAATATCGGAGTAAGCGTGCAACAATGATTTCAGAACAAAAGGAAAAACAAAAACAACCTTTGTTGTCTCATTCTCCATCTATTTAGTGTTTAAGTATGATATCCTGCATTAGGAATACTTTGATATATGCTTGATATTTTGGGGGTTACATGTCTTCGGCACAACTATTACCCACTCGCTTGACCACTCAGCACAAAGCACCAAAGAGATTGCCCTATATAATAACTGTTGTGTAGAACATCTCCTTAAATACTGTGAACTCTATCAAGCGGATTCCAGCATAGGTCTTACAAATCTACAAATCCCATAATATTTAATAGTTAATATATTAGTATCAATGACAATATCGGATGTTATATTCACAAACTGGACTTGGAAATCTGGAAATAAGTATTATAATCGCAAAGAGACAATCCTAATCTTCCATAAAGACGCTTACCATTCAGGAACTCTTTGTCTGTTTCACCTTGTATTGTTTTGGAATGGATATTTAAGTTTTTTGGGGTTTTTTTGTTCAAATTGTTTCTTCGTTCACAGATTTTTAGTATTTTGAATTCAATTCTGTTAAGATGACTTTTTTTTTTTCTTTTTTCAGGAGAGCAAGTCTAATTTCCCTTTACGCTGATATACAACGGAAACAAATATGAATCATCATTGTCCGTCGTTGCTGTAAAGGGTATGAAGATATTTGGATCTACTGAAGCACATGCAATAACGTCCAATCGATTACATACTATCCTTATAAATGTGTGAGTTTGTTTTAGGCGTCAATTATGTAACAATAAATGAATAAATAAAAAAAAATTGTCATGAAATTTGCTATTTTAATGAATTAATAACAACTATTATAAGAAAGAGTATTTGACAAGCATTTCTATCAAATTATGACGGTTAATGGCAGGGGACGTCATCTGGTGAGAGAAATAAAGTTATCGTCGTGCAATACGTCCTCATGGAGATGGGGTTTATCCAGCGAATTACCAGCATTGAATTGAGTATACATCAGCCATTCGATACTGTAAGCGTACAAGTACCGTTGTAAGTAAAGAAAGACAACTCGTATTCAATGAACAAATAATTTAGAGATCGGTATCATCTTTTTATATATTTGATTTAATGTTTTAATATATGTTTTTTGAACTCGAAATTGTCAAATTAGTCAGGCATAATGTAATGTTATGACGACAATATGCTATGATAATGAAAAACGCTTATAAACCATTGCTTTAGAGATTCCAGCTATAATGGAATCGTTATAGTTTATTCACTAAAATTTCTTAACATGATGTGATGACAAGAACAAAGATAATGTCTACAGATTCTTCATTCAAATTAAAATTCGAAGACAACAGTGCAAAATATGAACACAAGAAACGCGGAGACTCATGAAACAGTACAAAGAGAATAAGGTTAGGTGTTACGAAAGGGTAAACCTCTTTTGTCTTATTCTCTTTGTTCGTTTTCGGGAATCTGCGTTTAACCCTGATTCGTCGATCTGGAATTAAAATTTATAATATGTTCACATGTTGGCATGTCACTTACTGTGCTTTTATGAGTCTTTTGATTATGTGAGAGTTATCCTTCCTGGAATCGCTATGCAGATTTTTATACAGTTATACAATTGCGCTAAACACTTCAACCTTTTCAGTGTTCTGATAGATACCATTTACTGGTACTTAACTTCTATAGAGTTCGCTCCCCTTATCGCTTAACTTCTGTACAGCTCGCTCCCCTTTTCGCTGTTACGCGTGATCTTGGTTTTTAACAAAGTAAGCTGATGATTCTTTTTCAAAAGGAATGAACACTGGGTAGATGAGCAGCTTATAAAGCGGTTATTATAGAATACGATGTACGTAGATATCACTTTGTAGGTAAGTGTAGATTGTGAACATTAGGGCAAATGACGTACATGTGATTTAAAAGGCCTTTTTTCCCTTTAAAGAACTTTAAAGCGCTATAACGATTATTCAAGTCACGCCTACTTTAAGATATTTTTGATACATGAAAACGCTACAAACTGAACATTCTATTTATCTCAGAGTTAAGATGATGGTTTCTCTCATTTCCACCTGTGTCAGATAGGCCTGTCCAGGGTAATAAACATGGTCATGATAGACGTTTATTACACAGGCGCCTGTGTAATAAAGCCTCGCGCGCGGAGTAATTCATAGTTTTTTTCCCCACGCACTCATCGACTATGTCCTCGCAAACCGCTTCATCCACAAACACGCATAGTCGATTGGAGTCGTTGTTTGCAGGGTATTTACAAAACTGTTCTATAAATATCAACATCACCAACCCTGGGGCTCAGCCTTTCCGCCGTCGTCCACGTGTGATTGAAAGTGACAGTGACTAACTTTCCTCCTGTCGGTGTGGCGCGAAATGTGTGACGTAAGTGACGTCATCTCACAAGCAAACCAAGAATTCCATTCAATATGTAAGATTTGTAAGATTACTATTGACAGTAAAGTAGTATTAATAACTTGACCAACATGTTCAAAAATGTTAAATGTGTATATGATATATTATACATTGAACAATAGTAAATATTAAAAAGAAAAGTGTTGTTTTATTGCGTGTTTTAAGGCACTATATTTGAACGCGTATGCATGTCTCTGGGTGACATATTTGACAGGGTATTTGACCCAGCCCGCTTGAAGAAAAAACAGTTAAACACTGACGTTGGAAGTTTACATTCACTATCCATATTATGTTTTCGACCGCAAACATAGCTTGCAAAATTCGGCGATGGAGAATCTATTTCAGCAATTCTTTTCATGTATATAACCCAAGAAAAAAAATAGAATCATTAAAAAATGGCGGCGTCCAGTGATGGCTACCACGAGGTGAGTGCAAATATTTGATAATATGAGATTATAAATGAGAGAAAAAAACTCTTTCCTATATGGGTTTGTAGGATACGGATATTCCACCCTCGGGATCGCAAGCCTCGGGTTTTACCATATTTTTGACCCCACGGGTGGAATATCCCTATCCTACATACCCATATAGAAAAGAGTCTTATATTCTTTCCCTCATTTGGTACATGTCTCTTTTACGAGTCTGGGTTACACAAAGTGCCGCTGCTACTACACACAGTACAGACAACAGGAGTAGAATGGAGACTAGGACGGGAACCACACAGGTTAACAACTTACAAGAATTCGTCTGTCCTTCTACTTGTTTTTCGGTTACATATTGGGGTAATACTGGACCTGTACTTTCTATGTCATTTTCTGTGTTGGTCTTGACGCCCGGTTTGGTGCCATTTGGTGAAACATGTATATCCCAGACGTCAGAGACTTGTGTTTCTGTAATTTCTGAATAATTTTTATTCAAACGATTCCCAACAGATGTGACTGGTGTTACTTTTGTTGTTATCCTATCATACGATGTAGATGAAACGTCCCCCCGTAGAGGTATCATACCCTCTGTCGTAGAAATATTGACTTCTGTTGTATGCATCCCGTCGTCTGATGGTACCGTTTGCTTCAATGTAGATGTTAAATCAACGGAAGTCGGCATTGCACTCTGTGTTATAGATACATCAACTGCTGTCGACAAAATTATCTCCTGATTATTTGTAGTTGCATACTCTGATGTAGTCTCTGGGGTTGCAGTAGTCTCATAATCCAGTGTAGACGCCGTGTTTTCAGTAGCGCTTGACTCCAGCGTAGACGCCAGGTTTTTCGTGGTTCCAAACTCCGATGTAGACACCGAATCTTCGGTAGTTCCTGACGCCACTGTAGACGCCGACTTGTTCGCAAGTTCCGATGTGAACGCAGGGTTTTCGGTGGTTTCTGTTTCAAATGTAGACGCTAATTCCGTAATAGACGCCGGGTTTTCGGTGGTTTCTGTCTCAAATGTAGACGCTAATTCCGTAATAGACGTCGGGATTTTGGTTGAGGTTAGCGATTCCGCCATTAATCCTACCAATTCTGTAAAAAGAAAAATATACAATCTTTACACCATTTAAATTGTTACAATTCTCATTTCATTCTCCTTCAAATAGGCTGTAAATTCTTACCCGTTTTATACTCTGTTAGGAATCAGTGAATGAAGTTTGACAATGACCTTTAGAGCGGTACTATCACTACATTGTAACCTGTAACTCAATCACTCAAGACCGTAATATGTACACAAACATCTTACACATCAGCATATGACATTAGTCATCACCACATAGTTACCTGTTACTAAACATTCTCCTCTCAATACCCAGCATACACATACAGAACCCATCTCAATACCCAGCATACATACACATACAATAACCCTCTCGATAGCCAGAATACACATACAGTAACCCTCCCGATACCCCAACATGTTCCTACTGTAACAGTCTCGATATCCCGAAAGACCCCTTCTGTAACTCTCTCGATACCTCAACACACCCTTTCAGTAACACTTAAGATATACCGAATACTGCAGTAACCCTGTCGATACCCCAACACACTCCGACAGTAACCCTCTCGATAACCCGATAATTTCCTACGGAATCGTTCTCGATAACCCGACACACCTCTGTATAGATACTTCCCCTAGATATCCACTGTATTACCTACACTAACTTGAGTGATTACCCTGCATGTATGTACTGTACTCCTAGATATTCTCTGTATTACCTACATTAACCTGTATTATTACCCTACATGTACGTAATGTACTCCTAGATATTCTCTGTATTACCTACATAAACCTGTATGATTACCCTGCATGTACGTAATGTACTCCTAGATATTCTCTGTATTACCTACATAAACCTGTATGATTACCCTGCATGTATGTACTGTACCCCTAGATATTCTCTGTATTACCTACATAAACCTGTATGATTACCCTGCATGTATGTACTGTACTCCTAGATATTCTCTGTATTACCTACATTAACCTGTATGATTACCCTACATGTACGTAATGTACTCCTAGATATTCTCTGTATTACCTACATAAACCTGTATGATTACCCTGCATGTACGTAATGTACTCCTAGATATTCTCTGTATTACCTACATAAACCTGTATGATTACCCTACATGTATGTACTGTACTCCTAGATATTCTCTGTATTACCTACATAAACCTGTATGATTACCCTACATGCATATATTGTACCACGAAATATTCTCTATATTACATGTCTGATGATTGTAAAGCCATCGATTTATAGCAGTCGACCCAGAAGATTTATTGTTGAATAGTCATGTGCCTCATTCTGTTGTCTTTGTAACAAAATAATTTAGTGTGATTATGAATGATCATTGTGAATACTTGCAAAAAGATGAGATGGAAACACAAGTATGGAGCGAAAATTCATAACCGGTATTTGTTGATTTTTTTACGCTGTTAATTGATTACTGCGATACATTATGCCCCCGTATCCTAACAGAATACACCAGATTTATATAGCGAAAACACACTAATGCAAATATATAACAACAATACAACTGCATATACATACCGTAATAAAGAATGAATCCGGAGTAACTGGTATCAGAGTCAGTTACAAACGTCAGGTCAACATCACCCGTGGATATAATGACATTGTCTTTAACTGGTTCAAAATTCCAACGTCCAGAGTACCGCTTTGGTGGCACAGGATGGTCTGAAACATTATTATTCATTTTATTAAGTATCAGTCTTTAAACCTGAAAAAAAAACTTAAACACTTTAAATAGACTGGTAAGATTGTCATTCTATAGAAAAAACATACAAGTCAGAAGCTACTTCTCTATTGTCAGAATGATTTGTTTTCGTGGTTATGTGGAATGGACGTCTACATGCAACGTTGTATAGCTACAGGTAAGAGTTTGAAGAAGGACACATTTATATCCTGAACAACAGAACATGCGATACAGTAGCACCAGATATTATGAAATATGTACACGGAATAACAGAACTACCAAAATATTTGTCATTCCAACACAGTCATTTATTATTTTTTAAAAGCAGAATAACTGATAGATTTATCCTCCACTGTTAATTTTAAATTCTCACAAATATATTCAAATCGAAAAAAAAAAAATTCACTAAACATCTATAACATTTTAATGTAATTCCTTACATATATATATGGAAATCACAGTTTTGTCATGAAAGAGTATTAATCCAATGCATTTGAATATTCCATGATCAAAATTTTATTTCTTTCATTTAGCGAAAACGCTGTGTTGTATAGGTAAGAAACCTGATCTGTGTTTCAAATGATTTCATGTATGGTATATGAACACCATCTTTAATGATGATGTTCATTGTCTTACTATTATGATCGTATAATAAATGCATATTCCTTAAAGGAAACATCATTATATACTTAAAAACCTTTTATCGGTAACTTTTGCAAGTATCTTTTTTTGCGAATTTAGCGACCCCGTCAAAATCGCAAAATCAAAATTATAAAATTTGCATGATTTGTCTGTTTAATCAATTTTAATTTTAAAATCATGAATACTTAACATGTTACACAGTATATTGCTTAACGGTGGGTACAAATTTTGTTATTAAAACATACACTAAAGAGACATAAATTTTATAATAATTGCGAAACAAGCTTCAAACGACCACTCGATACCAAATTATGGTAAGAATTAACTAAACTTTCTTGTATGTATACAAGTTGTAATGGTGTCATACAATTTACCCGACGTTAGATTGAAACACTATAATCCTTTAAATACACTGTAATAAATGCGTAGCTGTATAATTTCAATAGTGAATAAAACCACGATTAAGAAATTTATTTAGTTACCTTTTACATAGAGAAGTTAATTAACTTACCTGTTACATAGAGACGATAACCAACTTACCTGTTACATAGAGACGATAACCAACTTACCTGTTACATAGAGACGATAACCAACTTACCTGTTACATAGAGATGTTAGTTAACTTACCTGTTACATAGAGCGGTTAATTTACTTACCTGTTACATAAAGAAATTACTTAACTTACCTGTTACATTTTTAATTAACTTACCTCTTCCACTGACAAGTTAATTATCTCGCTTGTTTCATAGAGAGGGTAATTAACCTACCGGTTACAGTCAGATGTTAATTAACTTGTAAATACCTGTTAGGTACGTTTATTAATTTACCTGTTACATAAATACGTTAAACGAAGAAGTTAATTAGCTTACTTGTTTCATGGAGAGGTTTAATAAATTTCCTGTCATAAAGAGAGGTTGACTAACTTACCTGTTACAAAGAGAGCTTAATTTGCTTACCTGGTACATGAAGAAATTAATCTACTTACCGGTTACATAGAGGAAATCGCTTACTTACTTGTTACATAGAGACGAAAATCAACTTACCTGTTACATAAAAAATAAATTACCTGGTACATAAAGAAGTAAGTTAATTTACCTGTTACATAGAGAGGTTAGTTACCCTATCTGTTAAATAGAGAAGTTAGTTACCATATCTGTTACATAGAGAAGTTAGTTGCCTTATCTGTTACATAGAGAAGCTAGTTACCTTATCTGTTACATAGAGAAGTTAGTTACCTTATCTGTTACATAGAGAAGTTAGTTACCTTATCTGTTACATAGAGAAGCTAGTTACCTTATCTGTTACATAGAGAAGCTAGTTACCTTATCTGTTACATAGAGAAGTTAGTTACCTTATCTGTTACATAGAGAAGCTAGTTACCTTATCTGTTACATAGAGAAGTTAGTTACCTTATCTGTTACATAGAGAAGCTAGTTACCTTATCTGTTACATAGAGAAATTAGTTACCTTATCTGTTACACAGAGAAGCTAGTTACCTTATCTGTTACATAGAGAAGTTAGTTACCTTATCTGTTACATAGAGAAGCTAGTTACCTTATCTGTTACATAGAGAAGTTAGTTACCTGATCTGTTACATAGAGAAGTTAGTTACCTTATCTGTTACATAGAGAAGTTAGTTACCTTATCTGTTACATAGAGAAGCTAGTTACCTTATCTGTTACATAGAGAAGTTAGTTACCTTATTTGTTACATAGAGAAATTAGTTACCTTATCTGTTACATAGAGAAGTTAGTTACCTTATCTGTTACATAGAGAAGTTAATCAACCTACCTATTACATAAAGAAACTAATTTACCTACCTGTTACATAATGAAGTTAATGAACCTGTTACATAGAAAAAGTTAATTTACTTACCTGGTACACAAAGAAGTTTATTACCTGACCTGTCAATAGAGAAACTTATGAACTTACCTGTTACATAGTATATCTGTAAGTAATCAACTGGATGAAGCGAATGCGTAAATCCGTATTCAATGTCTACTAACTTTATAACGATTCTGATTTTGTATCCAGCTTTAGACAATATCCTCCAACGACATGTTTGTTTTCTGTTGGAAACATAAAATCATATACGAATCAGTTAGCCTTTTTTGAAACTATAAAAATTGTTTTTTTACTACGTCACATAAATCACCTGCATCCATACATACGAAGGTCATACAAAGCATCTATACTTGACCCTAAAGCAACATGAAACCTCATGTATTGATTGCATATGGATTTCAAGATACACAGGATTTTCGTTGAAATGAGAGCATGCTGTATTTGATTTACCTTCAGAGTGGGTTTAAATCCATTTAATAATTTATTCAGAAATCGGTAGCTTGAAAAAAATGCTAGTCTGCATTTCGCAGTTTAGATGTTGTCTTAACACTTCACACATGAGAGTGACATTATACAGAACGAACATGGCTAGCTCGTAACGAAGGGAACACTGTCTAGACATTATTCAATATTTCCAAATAAGAAATACTGGCGACTGATTACAAATGTCTTACAAATATTAAAAAAAGATACGGACCTCCCTCTTTTATATTGGATTAAACAAGGTCTTAACGCTGGATCTTCTATATATTAAATCAAATATTTGATTCTTCACTCTGCATACAACTGTTTATTTCCCGTTCCAAATTGAAAGATTGCTTTGGTTCTGTAATCATGAATATAATTATACGGTAGTGAGCTGTTCTGAAGCATATTTGGTTGGAAATATATCCAAATTAAAAAGAAGATAATTTGGGGACAAGATCATAAAATTGATCGAATTTCTGGTTGAGTATATCTTTGTTCAGTGTAGTGGCAAAATCTCCCAACAGACTATCTACATGACTATGGAAACTGACTGACAGGTCATAAATACCTTGCAATAACTTTCAATTTTAATCTTTGCTTACAACGATTTTCCTATTGTGAACCTATATGCCGAACTTACGGTGTTTACATGTGTCAGTTTGATATTAAGGGACATTTGACAGACAAACTCACAATAGATGCGGGATGATGAAGACTCAGGTGAAGTTTTCTGGTCGTCATAATGATAGGGAACAATCTATGTTGGAAGGTGTTATTGTATACCTAGTTCTTAATAGAAAAAGGGACATTGTATAACCTACCTGGATATACCACGATTTATATCGAGGATGTCGTACATGAAGCAGAATCGCTTATTGTCCTTGTATTTCTAGAAGTCTCTTCGTAAATCTATGATTTGTTCATAGTTTTATTGGATTATATTCACATGTTGGTTTTTTTTCATTAAATATCTATTTACATATCGGCAATGTCTTTCTGGTTCTTGATGAAATAGTTATCCAAACTGAGCTAATACAAACACTCGATTCGTAAAACCGTTTTACAAAAAATGCAGAATTCTAGATTTATTACTCCTAAAAAAAACAAAAAACAAAAGCTCAAAAGACTCGACAAAAGAGGAAAAGCGTCATTACTGAAGGAATTTATTTCAAATGATATGAACGTTTGTACGCATTACATAAAATGTAATAAGATATGCATTAATATACGTTTAGGCTTTAAAACTCCAAAATATGAAATGTCCAACCGTAAATAAAAATCTGATATGAGCAAAAATCCTTTATGATTAAATCACAGATATTGAGAAATACAAAATTTATAAAAAAAAAAAAAAAACTTAAAAGTATTATATCTTGTTTTCTCTAACAAAACATAAAGATGAATATGTCATAAATTTAACAGACATTAATCGTGCAATTGATTAAATGTTACATTTGAGCTGTAATTTATGATATAGCTCATCCACGTACAAATTTAAACAAGAAAAAAATATCAACGTGTCATTATAATCATAGTCAAAATTCAAATTCAACAAAACTTGGACAAAATATCAACGAAAGAAAGATTTACACGCTGAAAAAAGTACAAGGGTAGGCATCTTCTGTTTTATCAACGACATGCGCCATGACAATCCAAGTAAGTAATGTCACGTACTCAAAAGAAGAGCCGGACAAACAGGCAAACTAACGACAACCACACACGTCCAGCCTCATATAGCACAAAGAAATGAAATGTTTCTCAATGAAATCATTATGGGGATCGTAAAACTTGCCTACAGCATAGTGTCATTAATCTGAATATCTTGAAACCAGGTGTTAGCCGTTCTTCCGTCAGTAAGCGACTTCTTGCAACGAAAAGCGTGATAATTGGAGAAGGCCCCTGAATAACGAATCAACTGTGACATGCAAACGCCATGGATTTGGGATGTAGAGGTGTTGTTATCCAAAAAAGGAAAATTCGTTATATGGAAATTAAAATTCTCACGCTCATCATACAATTTGGTAGAGAGGTGCCCTTGTTTGTTTCGTTGTTGGAAAATATTCTGATAAACGGCTGTTGAAGAATATATCGTGTCCTTGATTTCCAACTCTGTATGATATATACGACGAAACTACTCCATTACATGAATTTCTTAAACGTCTTGTTATCTAAAGACAAACCACCATCAATATATCTTAAAGTGAAATTAAACGACTTTACAAGGTGTTTGATATATGTTTTGATAAGCTCTTAGATAAATTGAGCCTGTTATGAAAACAAAAACATGTCAGTCAACAAAGGAATAAAGTTAGTCCCTTTAAGTCTGCCACAAGTTTGTTGGAAGATCTTAAACCAAACACGACCAAGATGATTTCAACCAGAAACTCAATAACTTTTTTATGATTTCGTCATCCAAATATTTCTGCTTTCATATGGGCGTATTTTTCGCGAAATATGCTTCAGAGTAGTTCATTACCATATATTTATACCGCCGTTCACCTTTCTTGGAGAAGCTCTGAAGATAACTCAACATTTCGTTTAGTCTTTGTATCGAAATTCTATTAATCTCACTCCATGAATAAACAATATCACAATAATACCAACCCTGTTTTTATTGTGACAAGAATGACAGTCAGTAGTTTTGACAAAGGTTTTGATGAACATCTAGACGAGCCAACAATAAAACATTATCTATGTGAAATCTTGATAAGTTATGAAGTCCACTATAAACGAGGGAGGTCCGTATACCTATTATTGGAAGGCAATCTAAACGATTGTAATACCGAAGCACGATAAGCCAGTGTTTTGTTTTTGTAAATGGTGCACAATAGATAGGTGTGATTTCCTCCTTCGTTTTCAAGCAAACACAGTTTTTTTTCGTATAAAAAAGTAATCATGTCTACAGACAAGGATCATGTCTTTGGTTGCCCTTACCTGCAGACACAATAACATATCTGTCATTTAAACTCTAAAGTTTGGATTTAAAGGGATAGAAGAATGCTGACATGTATTTCTAATTTTGAAGCTTCAAATTCTTCTAAGAATAATGGACCATAGGGATTTAACCTAATTATGTAATAATATTTATCTATTTATCTTGTTCTTAATATGTCACCACTATCATATACTAGGGTACCCTAAATATTATTCCGTTCGCCAGTCAGAAATCGATTTTTATGTTACAATATTGACAATGACATTACGTCTAAAATTGTATAGCAAAATTGCTCCCGTCTTTTTACCACCTTGATAAAACATATGTCAGTTGATACTTAAAACTGTATCAGATATTAAAATATCTTATTAAATAAAGATCCACTTACGAAGGATATTTTTCAGGGTAATTTGGTGACGTTAACGCTTTAGCATATGTTTCAGCTTCAAGCTCGATTTCTTCCTTCTCTGGACAGACAGTGAAACCTGAAAATACAGTCTGAATTTCATACAACTACATAATGCATGGATTATGGTTATATATATATACATATATATCGTTCTGATTATTGCATCTTCGTAGAACACAACATTAAAACATCTTTGAATTTGGATTATGATTATATTGGCATGTTGAAATCATCTTGTTATTTTCATATGACCTAATACACCAGCAACCTGTTTTATCTAAAGCTATTCAGCGGAATACATATGTTATTTTATATTAATTCTAAGCAGTTTTGATTTGACCTTACATATGTTTCGGTTATGATTTACCAATAACTCTAACAAAATACCAATAAAGCGATTCGTATTATCCATAAAAGAAATAGGGAACCTATTTGAAAATAGATGGTGTTCCAGCTAATTAAATATGTATTTTACACGAAGTATGGATCTAAGCACTTTGGAACTTAATGCCAACTATTTAGATTAAGTGTGTTTAAGTGTGAGATGATGGGCGATGGAAGGAGGATTTCACTTAAACAGGACAGCTATTTATAGTCACTGATAACTTAGGCCTTCCAGTTTTATTATGTAACACCGTGATATCTTTAGCTGACATTTTGGGATTCAGTACGTCCCTATGTACTTCTTAACAGCCAAAGGTAAATCCGAATCTTATTCTCCATTTGCTCAGATTTTTCATCTGTACGAGAGATTATTTTTTTTTTTAAAAAAAGAAAACATTTTTTCTTTGTCGGATCCAGAAATAAAATTGGAAACAATAACCAGATTTTTGTTTTCATTTTCATTTGCCTGATCCTGACAACTGAGAGGGGTCATATAGTGCATTTTTCATTTTTTTTTTTTTTTTTTGCCTGTGAAACCTGACTTCTGATTTTGATCAAATTCGGTAGGCATGATCCAAGATAAGAATACATATACTTGAGAACATGCTGGCTGATCCCTTGGAAATGATTGACATCCACAAGGAAGTGTTAGTCAGCAGTTTGTGGAGTATATGTTTTCATGCACGGCTGTCTGGGATCATTTCAAATTTAATTTTGACGTATCACACACCCAAAGTTTGAATTACTGTCTTTCGTATATCGAAGTCAGAACATGATCACATGTGGAACCGCCTGACAACGTTTAGAATCTCTATATCCTACGCCACCTACGTACCTGTTTTTCCATTCGGAATACTGGTGACTTCAATCCGGAACCCCGTGTCTCGACTTTTTTGTGTATCATCGGTTATGAACGTTACCTCCTGTCGTCCGGGCCGTCTGTAGGTGTAACTTGTTGTAGCATACCCACAAAACTGAATTTTGTCTATGTCCGACTGATCTGGAAAATAGCCAACCTTTATTTAAGATATGTTCTAAAAAGGCAACTTGGAATTTGTTTCCATTGGAAAATAATATACCTATACTTAACGTGAAGTAAAAAAACAGTCCACATTTGTGTGTTGGTTTTCGACATCTTCCACAAAGATGAAGACCAAAATATCAACAAAAGAAATATATACAAAGGTACAAGGAGATTAAGACCATGTGTTCCCGAAGGATAAGCGCCGTCTGCTTCATCGACGAGGACAAAACGTATTCAACCCAATGTCATGTTCTCAAATGAGAACAAGGCCAACAATAAGGGAACCAACAGATACAGGCTCATGTACGTCGAACTTCATATCGAAGAAGGAAAAAGGACATTTTTCGGAATGAAATCATTATGATAACAACATACCTCACAAAAAGCAGAAAGGGGGAGTGCCTTCAGCGGTCCCTGCCAAGCTATATCATAAGCGTGAGGATTTAATTTCCCTATTATGAATTTTCCATTTCTGGGTAGCAACAGTCTTATATCCCCAACAATTTTAAATGTCGCAGTTAATTCGTCATCCAAGGGCGTGTTCCCATTATCACGATTTTCAATCAGGAAGTCGTCAGCTGACGGACTAACTCGCAGCACATGGTTTTAAATGATGTAGGTTGATACAAAACATGGGGAAGTTCACCGTCGTTATATTGATCTCTGTAAGAAATATCCAATATCTTTGAATGATATAAAGCTGGAGGTATTTGATGCTTGTTAGCTTGCTTGTTGGTTCCGTTGTTGTATACCTTATTCTCATTTTAGAATGTGACATTACTGACATGTATTGACCAATGTTTATACGGCGGGTGTTAGACGCTTACTCTTCAGGAACACATGGTCTTATTCTTCTGGTTTTTTATTCAGGATTTCCCGTGTAAATCTTTCGTTTGACCATATTTTGCCCTAGTTTTATAAATTGGTGTTTGGATAAGGATTATGCTGACATGTTGGTATTTTCTTGTTATTTTCTATACTTCAAAACCATATCCATATGGTGTATAGGATGCATAATATAAGAGACAGAAATAAAGTGCTTCTGACAAGTTTTGTCATAATTTGAAACACAATACAAAACAAACATGTATGGTAAGTTTCTGATATATATATTTAAGTAAAGGTTCAGTACAGAATCCCATCAATCTGTCCATTAAGAATGATACCGACCCGTCCACTTATGAGCAAGGCAAGCGACACGCCCAATCACAAGAGCAAGGTACTTAATGTAACAGTGTCTACTGTGGAATACGTTCTTCATTTACACTGACATCTAGAATAAATTTTTTTCAATCAAAGCTTTTTAGGGTTGAAAATTAACACATAAGAGCGTGTGATATCTAAAACCGTATACTTACAAGTCGTTATCTGGATCATATCCCCTCTACAATCAACGTTGACATCCTTCAGCCGTATTAAGAAGTAGTCCATCGCATTATCTGGCTCGAAAATCCAAACGCAGCTTAGATTACTGAAACATGTTGAAAGAAAAATACTCATCAGCAATGAATTATATGTACACTTATTTCTGGCCGATTACGGCAATATACTTTCCGCTTATATGTGAACTAAATTGAAGTTAATTCCTTGGTGCCGTATGTGCAGCGTGTTTATATCTATATCTACGTTTACCTTTAAAATCTAAAATAAGACAAAATTATTTTGATGAAATCAACATGTGATGTTACTTTCGTACGGAAGTGTATTCCGGCCACGTTGTGTTTTATTTTAACTCGAAATTTCGAGATAGCATCTCGAAATTTTGAGATAGAAACCCGAAATTTCGAGTTAGTAATCCGAAATTTTGAGATACTATTCCGAAATTTCGAGTTAGTAAGTCGAAATTTTGAGATACTTACCCGAAATTTTGAGATAGTAACCCGAAATTTCGAGTTAGTAAGTCGAAAGTCGAAATTTTGAGATACTAACCCGAAATTTTGAGATAATAAGTCGAAATTTCCAGTTAGTAATCCGAAATTTTGAGATAAAAACCCGAAATTTTGAGATAATAAATCGAAATTTTGAGTTAGTAATCCGAAATTTTGAGATACTAACCCGAAATTTCGAGATAGTAAGTCGAAATTTCGAGTTAGTAAGTCGAAATTTTAAGATACTTACCCGAAATTTTGAGATAGAAACCCGAAATTTCGAGTTAGTAATCCGAAATTTTGAGATACTAACCCGAAATTTCGAGATAGTAAGTCGAAATTTCGAGTTAGTAAGTCGAAATTTTGAGATACTTACCCGAAATTTTGAGATAGTAAGTCGAAATTTCGAGTTAGTAAGTCGAAATTTGAGTTAGTAAGTCGAAATTTCGGCTTAGTATCTCAAAATTTCGGATTACTAACTCGAAATTTCGACTTACTAACTCGAAATTTCGATTCGACTTACTAACTCGAAATTTCGGGTTAGTATCCCAACATTTCGACTTACTATCTCAAAATTTCGGGTTACTAACTCGAAATTTCGGGTTACTAACTCGAAATTTCGGATTACTAACTCGAAATTTCGACTTCCTATCTCAAAATTTCGGGTTACTAACTCGAAATATCGGGTTACTATCTCAAAATTTCGAATTACTAACTTGAAATTTCGAATTACTAACTCGAAATTTCGACTTACTATCTCAAAATTTCGAGATGCTATCTCGAAATTTCGAGTTAAAATAAAACACAACGTGGCCGGAATACGCTTCCGTACTTTCGCTTCAAATTATCAATAAAAGAACAAGCATGTTAACGTAGCTACTGTATTTACAGTCGAACTTTGTTATCTCGGGCTCGACGTGACCACGGGAAAATTTCGAGATAACCGAGTATTCGATCTCATTGCTTTCAAATGTTTTATATATAGTTATAGTATATTTCGATTTAAACGGTGTCTTAGAGTTATACGAGTTCGAGAGAACGTGATTCGACTGTAGTATCACAAAAAGAAACAAATCCATATAGTAGAATCGTTTAATTAGACACTCCTTGTAGATAACAAGTACTACTGTATAAAAGCGAGTTTTTTGTCTCGAGGTCGCAGCGTGTGAAAGTTTACGTAATTTGAGATTAGTATATAAAACAGTCTGATAATACACAGGAACTTAAATACGGTCTGCTTGTGTAAACATTTAGGTCAGAATTCCGTACGTCGGGGTTCCGGGAGTTGTGTGTACAGCATTCGTAACTCAATATTTCGCCATTTTTTAATTTGCAGTTTAAATGTATTTTTATTTTTTTCCAAGAAGTAAAATAAATAAGATAAAAAAGAAACGACTATATACAGATGTACATGTAAACAAAAGTAAATTACATCACAATGTTCGTGTTTATACGGAAACCACGGAGTTTTATTAAATTATCTGTTATGTGGCATTTCTACGGTGTAACTTTACCAAAGTTAAATGTGTTTTCCAAGGTCATAAAATGTGATATCAGAGTTGAAAAGTCTAAGTACATGCATGATTTAAGCTTAGGTGGCATTACTGGGCCTTAATGTATACTGCAAATAAACAAGTTCTGTATAAAAGAAGTGGATGTTCGGATGGTACGCTGGTAACCCACTAGCTTGTCACTAAGGCGTCCGGGGTTCGATTCCAGGAATGGACGTAAAAAGATACTGATTCATCTGCCCGACCACAAAGTCAATTTGACGGGACCACACAAAGTCCTGTCGCAGACAGGTATTATCTCCGTATTTTGGTTTCAGTATTTTTCTGTAGTTGAACCATCAAAATTTATATATATTTAAATGCTTAAGCTGACACCATTGTGGCATGGAGGCGTAAAGTTAATGAAGACAATATGACGCTGTTTCGAAGGCACTAAATAGTGATATGACGCCCTGCCCATGTTAGCGCTACACGTGCACAGTATCAATATTGTTGTTCTCTCGCTATACAACTACGCAAAGTCAAAAGGTCAAACCTGATATATTACTAATAGGGCACAATAGAGAAGAATGGCTCTTTATGTTGAGTAAAAACCGCTTTTAACACCTAGCCATCTGCTGATAACTTCTTACTGAATAATCTTTCAAAACATTTCCATTTTTAATTGGTGGTATGTGTAATACCAAATGTATTATAGGTATAGCAATGATAGTTTGACTCACTTGCCATAGTTTACCGGGTACCCAGGGCTTGGGAAGCTTCTTGTCTCGAAGAGAGTGAAATGAATGACCCGGGGCGAGTTATCACATTGACAACTTACCCAGGCACCTACAACATAAAGACGGCGAGAAATATACAACATAGATACAAGGAGTGAGTTATCACACGGACAACTAACCCTGGCACCTACAACACAAAGACAAGGAGAAATATACAACATAGATACAAGGAGTGAGTTATCACACGGACAACTAACCCTGGCACCTACAACATAAAGACGGCGAGAAATTTACAACATAGATACAAGGAGTGAGTTACAGAATGTATCACACGGACAACTCAAAAAGTCCTGGCACCTACAACACAAAGACAAGGAGAAATATACAACATAGATACAAGGAGTGAGTTATCACACGGACAACTCAGAAAGTCCGCTACAACATATAGACAATGAGAAATATACAACATAGATACAAGGAGTGAGTTATCACACTTACAACTCAAAAAGTCCGCTACAACATCAAGACAATGAGAAAGTTACAAAAAAGACACAAGGAGTGAGTTATTACACTGACAACTTACATAGACAACTTTATCATAAGGAAAACTGGGAATAAACACATGAGGCACACAAGGGGTGAGTTATCACACTGATAACTCAAAATGATAGCTACGTCATTCATACAACGGTGAATAAGAAAACAACAGAGACACAATAGTTGAGTTATCACACTGACAACTAACATAGACTTCTACAGTATAAAGACAACTAGAGATTAATAATAGAGACACAATAGTAGAGTTATCACACTGACAACTAACATAGACTTCTACAGTATAAAGACAACTAGAGATTAATAACAGAGACACAATAGTAGAGTTATCACACTGACAACTAACATAGACTTCTACAGTATAAAGACAACTAGAGATTAATAACAGAGACACAATAGTAGAGTTATCACACTGACAACTAACATAGACTTCTACAGTATAAAGACAACTAGAGATTAATAACAGAGACACAATAGTAGAGTTATCACACTGACAACTAACATAGACTTCTACAGTATAAAGACAACTAGAGATTAATAACAGAGACACAATAGTAGAGTTATCACACTGACAACTAACATAGACTTCTACAGTATAAAGACAACTAGAGATTAATAACAGAGACACAAGGGATGATTTATCATAATGGCGTCTCACAAAGACAGCTATAACATGAAGACAACGAGAAATTGATTACAGAACAACATCGACGCCAAGGATGACGTCATGTACCACACTGAATACAGACAACAGACAGAGACATAAGCTGACACTAATAAAACTTAGTATGCGACAATTTTATAAGGATATACCGCTGTTTATTTCAAAACACGTCATATTTTTTCTCGACGTACAAACAACCATTTACATTGAATAAATACGTTTTATGTAAAAAGTAAATGCATTAATTAAATGCTTAAACGTGTATCATTATACAAGATTCAAGAGTTGATCAGAGTCGGATCAACATTGTAGTAATATGTTTGAGATCATTTTACTAGCGATAACTCACCGTGGATGCTGAGGAGGAGAAACAGTGCACACAATGTCAGGGTCATGCTGATACTGTCCAGATTCGGCGAAATAGCATCAATTAAACGAGGCCACAGGTATCTGTAGAAGATACAAATAAAACGTATCGTGTTGCCCTGAACTACAATCTAGTTTGTAAAATAAACTTGTGTGTGTTGGTCTATTACAAAACGTGCGCGGCGGTACTAATAAACATAACGTTTTCTACCACATTTCCGTTTGAAATTACGAATTGAAATAATTCCCTCGTGCAGGTATTCGAGGCAGGATTAAACTCACTCTGCGGATTCCCTGAGCAATGTGTGTATCCCGACTGACTTTAAACGTGAATTCCTCGCATACACTTTACAAACATGTGATGTGTATAGAGTACAATGTTGCCACGCCCGACGATTCTGCAAATATATTAAGAACATATCTAATTTCTTTAATATGACAAATCGCTGGTAAAAGAAATTAACGTTAGTCTAATCGTACAAAATCATATGTACGATAAACCGGTATATCATACCGTGAAATCTCCCAAGAAAGGCAACATCAAATTCAACGTACACGACAAATCGCAACGCTTCCTAGACTTCCGGAAATAGCACAACACTCCCTTGGGGTGAAATTATGGACGCTGTTGATCCAAAGAGGTTGACAGTTTTTTTTTTAAATTAAATCCAGAAAGTACGAACTCAAAGGTCAATCCAATCTAGATAAATTAACGTCATTGTCAATCCAATACAGAGAAATTATAACACCAGTGTCAATCAACAAAGTGGTTCATAGCATTGTCAATCCAGAGACATTTTGACTAATAACACTGTTGATGGGTTTTGTTACAACGTAACGACATTGTCAATCTAGTAATAAAAAAAAAATCAAGGTAGCTTAACGACACTGATTCAATGGAGGGTAGCAGCAATGTGAATCCAGAGATGATAGCAACAATGTCAACTAGGTAGGTTATCGACATTGTCAATCCAAATAAGTTAGTGACACATCCAATCCAAAGAGGTTCGTGACACTGTCAATCTAACAATGTTCACGTAACCGTCAATTCAAAGAAATTCACGATATTGTCAATCCGAAGAGGTTCAAGACACTTTCTATTTAGGGTGTTATTGTGATATTGCAAATCCAGGAAAGATAACGCCACTGTCAATGAGGTTAGAGAGGTTAGCAACATTGTCAATTAAATAAGTGCTGTCAAATGGTGATACAAAAACTTGGATGGGTGGTCGTACAACAGTGGGATTTACGCAACCATACAGTATCTACACGCCCGGATATGGTACACATTACGGATGTCTAGTGAAGGAAGGCGGTTGCTGATAACAAGCTCTCCGCTTTGCAGTATCATACCAAGAACACTCGCCCACAAGTAACTTAAATGCGTATTAAATCACAACACATGAATTTATGACGAGGGCTTAGGCCAAAATTCTCCTAAACGTGACCGCGAATTAAGGAGCGGCGTTCTTAACCCGGTAGAGCTAAAATAAAATAAACATAAAAGCGAAACACGAGACACGTAATAATTAATAAAGTTTTGAGCAGAGTAGATAAAGTCTTACAGAAAGATATCGATCTGATCTCCACGATGTACATTTTGTTCCCTCATTTAACGATTAAGGAAAATTATTTTCTATTTTCCCCGAAGCTAGAATCTGTAAAAAAAAAAAAAAAAACGCTTATATTTCCGTATACAAGTGAACAAGAGTTATCTCCCTTCCATCACGAGACGGACCATCGTTTCTTCTGTCAGCGTTAGAGAAGATTTTTTTTTTATTGTTTTTTACTGTTACCGCCAATGTCTATCTGATACAGGTACAAACGATAAACTCTAATTGTCTGGTACTATCATTCATTAGACTTGAAGGTAAGAGTAGACACGTGATTAGCTCAAAGGCTTACAATGGCACGGCTAGTTACATACAGGCGAATATCAATATACATGTATTTGACAAATAATTGGCTAGACGAAAACAGGCATGAAATAAGTTGAGTCTACCGTTATCTATAATAGTTGTTAATTGATCGTATCTGACACCGGTCACCGAGTAAGGTGTCCTGGCAGCTCTAGAATATATAGCAATCTGCACTGACTAACAAGACAGTCTATAATTGAAAAATATCTGAAACTGCAATTGAATTGCCTCTTAATATTTGGGTTATTATTTCAAATTTACCAGTTATACAACAGCACTACTATTTTGATTTGATACACCCGTACTTGAAATGGTAAAGAACAGCTTTTATAACGATTTGATTCGATCAGTACAATACTATATAGAGGAACTCCAAAATTGTCACGTAGATTATTATTGTCATAACATACTCTGTTTCTTGCAAGTTCAATTGTTCTGCAGTGAGTGACAGCTATCCTGGAGAAACAATAGATGTCTTTTTAAAAGTAAGTTGGTAGGAGATTGGAAGAGGGGATCATAACCATGAGAACCAACTTGTTCTTGTTCACACAGTTGCAGAGAAGCAGCCTATTTGCAGTACATTGTGAAACCGTCGTTTGATTTCAAATGGAATATTTTCAATGACAGGTCATAAACATACTTAAATTACAACGTCTCCTGAAAAAGGTAAAAATAAAACTATACAAAAGTAGAATTAGCTTATAAAATAACAAACATAAAACAGCAATCAATTGTTTTAGAAACTAAATATCCAGTCTTCATGTCTTGATTATCAACACAATTTAACATGAACTATTATCCCAAATCACAGATTTCAGAAAATGTACGGAATGCTGAAGAATTCAAATACTAAATATTGAAGATTCAAAATACAGAATGTTGAAGATTTGAATACTGAAAGTTGAAGATTCAAATAATGAATGCTGACCGGGAAAATTAATTTTACTATTTCATTTTCGTTAACCCCCCCCCCCCCCCCCCCCCCCCCAAAAAAAAAAAAAAAAAAAAAAACTTTGATAGGAAAATTTACATCAATCAGCTGGCCATCTTCCATTCATCTTTAACTTAAATCTATGGCCGTGTATATGTACCTCTCTTGTGTAAATTGTCATGTTCCACTCACAGATACCTTGTTGAATTAGAATTCAATTACCAGGTAATTTATTACAATTATGAGATCGCACGTCGTTAGATGACGTGCGATGTGCGCACGACAGGAAATTTGGACGAAATAAGCTATAGCACATTTGTGCGCACGTTGTGCGGTTCTATTGCACAAATGTGCGATTCTGTTGATGAAAAAAATAAAAAATTACTTATAAATAGATTTATAAATGTGAGATATGGTTTATTCATTTTCTTAATATATAATTATACAGACTACAAAGTAGAAAACAATTTGACTTTTGGAATAAAACTATCGTCTAAGACAATGATCATGACATAGTACCGAAATGGGGATACAACTCATTAAAGGTATATTTTTAAGATGTTTTTTTGTACTTGGGGAGGTGATTGACACACCCGAGTACCTTCAATAATTAATATGAGATGTCCCCTGAGGCGATATCTGTAACGTAAACCAGGTACAGTACACTTATTGGTCAGTATACCGATACACATTCTGACCTCCCGGAGTTACTGCCCTTGGTTTTCACTTTGTCAGATGGCATTGCGATAAAAGGGACACCTGATTTGGGCCGAGAAAGATTGATACATTACCCGAGGCTTTATCCGTAACAGGGGAGGTTTTAGAAGCAGTTAGTGTTTAAAGTTAAAGAAGTGAAAAAATGAAAGATATTTAGAATGAAAAAATGACTAAATGCTCAGAACATTTATAAAATAGTAAAATGCTCTAAATATATATCTCTGGTTTATTTAAATTTAAAAAGTACTTGATATTGGACTTCTCCTCCATACATATCTTATTTTCATTCTATTGAAAGAGTAAATAATTTTCAAAAAATGAGATTTTCTTTATTTCACTATAGGCTTTTATATGTGTTAATATATAAAGTATAATTGGACATTTAAAAATACAAAGTAATGGCGTTCATGGTTTGATATTTGAAATAATATCTAAAAAAAACTTATGTATAATCTGGAGCTGGTATTTTGGTGTATCTCCCTTAAATTTAGCCATGAATATGTTATTATTACCATGATATGTAAAAATCCTCAATGTGTACAGAAATACCACAGGCTGTACTTATACACGTGAATGATACAGAAATCAGACACCGGTAAAACAGAATTTAAAATGCGATACATCTCTTCTCTTCTGAGGTCATCTTCAACTGACAACATTTATGGAGTATAATGTCCTCCAGTTTATACATCAAACCTTTATTATTGTAATTAGTATTTGCAGTCTCTCGTGAGTATTAAACAGTTTGAGTTAATGTAATTCCATGGGTTCATATATCGAATCTAAGCTACTCTGTATTGAGTCTATGTTTTTTGTTTTTTTTTTTTTTTTTGTTTTTTTTTTTTTATGTTGTTGTGTGTGTGGGGGGGGGAGTGCGAAAGGATAATTCAAAAGAAAACAAATATGAATTCATTAAATAATAACAAAACTTTGAGATATTTTACTTTTTATTTATATCCTATAGGAAACCATTCAGTTTAACACTAAAACATAGACGTCATTGTCTACAATCAAATTGTAGTAGAAGCCTTGGCAGATGACTTTGACGGTCCTGAGAGGTCACCATTGGAAGTGACAATCTGCTCGTCTTCCACGAAATCCACAGATCATAGCTGAAACAAAGGTATAGTTATTTTCTGTTTCCTTGTATGTGGATGAATGACAAGGATATGGTAGCGTATTTTCATGACGCTGAGAACCATATTTTACTTGAAAGTTCTACTATTCCATTGCAGTAATCGACAGCACAATTTAATATAGTGACAATACTTGTATCAAGGTTGGTTGTGAATCACAAATATCTTTGTTATGTCTTAACAGAGAATCTGAAGAAAGTGCCGTCTGGATTCTTTTCCCAAGCTGATGAAGCACCATTTATGAAGAGGAATTGCAGTTTGGAGATGTTGGGATTTCATGTCCCAAACCAAAACATCAATTCAATTTTGTAGATGACCCGTCACGAAATTAAGAATGTTTCCTGTCATTTGTAAAGTCTGAATATCATTCCACAGTATATCATAAAACCTGTACCTGACTGACTCCATGTACCTTAAACAAATTGTCTTGAAAATATTCTTGTTAACAAAATTTCAAAAACTACGCTGGGATAATTTTCAGTAAATGTAGCAATATTACCATTTTTTCTTGTATGAAATAATCCTTTTTTTTTTTGCCAACGTAATACAATTAGTATACAGTTCCTTGTTCTTCCATAATTATCATTCGCTTTTCATCATGAAATTTGTGTTGTGTATTTAATGATAATAAGATTTACGAACCCCTCTAATTTAAAGAGTAGGAGTCCTTTGCTGATTTCTGCTATCTCTTTCATATCCTCTTCCGATAGTTGAAAGTCAAACACCTAAAACAAGTTGTAATAAGTAAATCTATGGCCTTTTCTCCGTATGCATCTAGTTTGATAAATATACTGAAAGTGTAATTACCATAGATAATTGATAATATATATATAATGTATGATTGCAATTAAAAGTTGTGCAATTCATAAGTATTTGCTTATTTAAAAGATGTCATAATTGTTTAGCACAACATCTGAATCATACAAATTGAATTTTTTCTTCATACA